TGCGTCGACGTAGGTGCCGGTGGACCTCCAAGATGCCATCTCCTGCTCCATGGCAGCTATCCACTGAGAGGCCCACGGTCCCGAGGTGGCCTCTGCGTAGGTGCGAGGGGTCGGGATGTCGAAGGCGTCGGGGTCACCCTCAGGGACTAACAGCATGGAGCAGAGATGAGGAGCAGCCTCGGAAAGGAAAGCAAGCTCGTACGGTCTGTCCTCTAGGACGTCACTGCCAAGGGTTGGAGCACCCCCGACGGACAGAGGACGGGCAGGGTCAGAGACCAGAGCGGTAGCGTAGTCAAGGCGGCGGGTGGAGGCGAAGTCAGCGACAGCAGCAACAAGCGCGTCAAGGCGCGAGACAGGAACAGCAGGGTTGGTAACGAGGGAGGCAAGAACCCGAGGGACAAGAGGACAAGCGGCACGGAGGTAGTCCGAGAAAGGAGGAGGCGCAACAGCAAGCGACGAGGGAGGAGGGGAGGCAAGGAGGGGAGGACGAGACGGGTGGGAACGGAGCAACATAGGGTGAGAGCGCAGAACAGGAGAGGCGGGACGCGTGAGGGACGGCGGGACCAAACGTGGGACTGAGGGGTAGGGTCAGGAGACAGCGGAGGGGACACAACATGAGAACGAGGAGGAAGACGGGTCGGAGACGAGTCTGGCGGCGGGAAAACAGGACCGTAGATCGGAAGGTCAGCAGGCGGCGGGGGAGACACCGGCGAGTGGTCCAGGGAGGGAAGGCCGAGCAGGCGGAGAGCGGAGACCGGCGGTGACGGTAGCTGCGGCGGCGGCGACGGCTGGGCCGGAACGCTCGGACCAGGAGAGGCAGAACGACCGTCGGCAGGACACTCAACAGCAGCACCCCCAGAACCAACACCCCCAGAGCGCAAAACCCTCGCCAGCACCAGCGGCACCCCCAGAAGTCGCACGACAAACACCCGCCTCCACACCAGCACCCCCAGGGGCCACGGGCGACCGCGGCAGTGGCGGCGACGGCTGCAGCGGGGTCGGCGACTGCGACAGTGGGGCCGGAGGCACCGGGGAAGGGGGACGCGGCAAGGACGGACCGGGGGAACCACCAGAGTCAGCAGACTCCTCAACTGGGACAACCGACGGGAGGGGAGTGACGTGAGAGACACCAGACGGGGCAGGACGCGGCGGGAGAGGAGCAGGGGCTACCGGGGGAGAGGGAGCGAGGAACAGGGGCGGGGCAACCGGGAGACCTCGGTGAGGGAAGCGGCGGTAGAAGGAGATAGACTCGTCAAAGGTGACGTCACGAGAGTGGAGGAAGCAGTGAGACGGCGGGTGGTAGAAAAGCCTGTCAGACGAGTCCAGGGGAAAACCGAGGAAGACACAGGGGACAGTGCGGGCAGTGAGCTTGTCCGTGCCAGAGGCACGAACGTGAGCAAGGCAGCCCAAACGTGGAACGCAGACGCGCCACCGGGGGACCCTGTCCAAAGGAGGGTCGGCGAAATCTGCGGCCGCTGGGAGCGTGGCCACAGGTTAAGCTAGTGAGCGGCGTAGCGAACAGCGAACGGCCACAGAAAATGGGGGGCATCGGCATGGATCATGGAGGTACGGGCGACCTCCATGACCAAGCCGATGCGGCGCTCAGCAACCCCATTCTGCTGTGGCGAGTCCGGCAAGGTGTACGACTGGGTGATGCCCTCCGCACGACAGAACTGTCCAAGCCGACCAGAGGCGAACTCGCCGCCACGGTCGGAGTGGAGACACAACACGGGGAGACCGCGGTGGAGACGCGCTGCCACAACCCACGGGAGAAGAACGTTGGGCACGTCGGCCTTCCGCTCCAGGGGAAAAACCGTGGTGTAGCGCGTGTAGTCGTCAACGAGCACAAGGAAGTAGCGCTCACCACGCGGTCCTTGGGCGGGGGCAGGGCCCCAAACTTCCAGGTGCAGGTTCTGAAGGTGGGTAGTGGCAGGGCACAGCGAGGAGGAGTGAGGAGAATGGCGGAGCCGGCCCTCGACGCAAGGCGTGCACGGTGGCGCAGTCGAGGGAGGAAGGGCGGGGAGCGACGCAGGGAGACCTAAGACTAGACCGTGCTGGGACATGTGACGCAGACGAGGGAGGGCAGGGTGACCTAAGCGGTGGTGCCAAAGGAGGGACGGGTGAGTGAGGGAACGACACGAGCAAGTTGCAGCAACCTGGGAGGACGTACCAACCGGAGGGGAAGTCGGTGTCTAGGGTAAACAGACCGGACACTGGGTCCCGGGGGAACGTCGCAAGGGGGGAACCTGAGACAGCCTCAGAACAGACAGCGAACCGCTCGTGCTCGGGGAACGTGGTGGTGACACCGAGGTCCTGAAGACAGCCGACACCAACCAGGTTCCTCGAGAATGAGGGAACGTGGAGGTCTGTAAGGGAGCTCGAGGGAACTGCTGGACAGGGAAGGGACGTAGAACTGCGAGCGACGACAGGACCCGCAGAGGGGTCAGCGAGAGAGACGACTGCTGGCGTAGCAAGCGGCGTAAGCGCAGAATGGTCGCGGAAGAAGCAGGCAGAAGCATCGGAGTCGAGAGTGAAGGACAGCGCCGCAGTAGCGGGGACAGGGAACGGAGCCGGTGCAGAGACGAGGCTAGACAATCTAGGCAGTCCTACGCCTGACGCAGCAGGGGAGGCTAGGCTACACAGCGGTGCAACACCTAAACTAGAGAACACAGGGTAATAAGATCCAGCAACACTAGAAGCGTCAGAATACAAAGCATGCAAAGCAGCACCTATCTGATCCATGTCTAACTCAAAGATCGGCACGCCCTGGCGGAGCAGGCGGTGCCAGTCAGGGAGGTCCGGGGCCGGGCCAAAGCGACAACGAAAGAGATCGTCGAGGCGGCGGAAATAGCGGGGAGTCGGGTGCGGGCGGCGGCACAGGGGTTCGCGAAGGGGCCCGGTCTGAAGCTGGTACTGACAGGTCACAGCACCGGAGCCACTGGTAGACGCCAAGCTGCGCGGGCCGCCACCACTGCCACCACCTCCTGAGGTGCCGGGCCAACCAGACGGGAGACGAGCCCACTGCTGCGGGAGCTGCGGCGGGGACTGCAGCTGCTGCTGAGACGGCGGCTGCGGCGCGGGCTGCTCCTGCTGCGGCTGGGGCTGCTGCTCCTGACCACCAAGGCTAGTCCCCCCAGACGGACTACTCTCACGACCACCAACACCACGACCGGCGCCACCACCCCGACCATTCTGGCGACCACAGCCACTGCGGCGCGAGCGCTGCTGCGGGTGGACCACAGAAGCCGTCTCAGTGAGGGGGGTGGCCGTGGCGACCGCAGCCGAAACGTCAGTGAACGTGCACTGGGAGGGGGCACAGCCTTGAAAGATAGAGACTGCCAGCGCACCGCTCGACTGAGCGATAGTGCGCTGGCGAGTCTTGATCTCGGTGAGGGTGTCGACAAAGGCGGTGAGAGTGAGGTCAGCCGGGTGCAGGCTAAGGAAGTGATCGCGAGCACTAGCGAGACGGTCTGGCAGGCGCATGGCGATAAAATAGAGCATCATGCAGAAAGGGGGGGGGAGCGTAGTGAGCTGAGCAGCAATGCTAGCAGTGCGATAGCGGGTCTCTAGGGCACGCAGGTGAGTGGTAAAGTCTGCGACGGTAGGGAAAGCTGCAAGGTCTGGGAAAAGCATAGGGAAGAGCAGGCGACCAGCAGAAGCAGAGGCGGGTGTGGAATAGCGAGCAATAACAGCGTCTAAATAAGCTTTGGCCGTCTCAATAGCAGCAAAACGCGAGCGCTCAGAGACAGGGAGGGCGTGGCTAATGGCAACCTGAGCGACTGCATCTCGGGAGTCCCAAACCGCACAGGCAAGCGCAGCAGTAGAGAAGGTCTCACGGTCAGCAGAGGAGGGATCAGCAGGGAGGGGAGCAGGTGCGGGGGGGCGGGGGAGCAAGCCGTCAACATGTACGACCAAAGAGTGGCCATCCTGGCGCTGACGTGTAAGCTGGCGGCGGAGATCGGAGAGCCAGGCGGCGAAGTCAACCGCATGGCCCTCGGCGTCCAGTCGGAGCACGAAGTCCGCCATCGTGCAGGGTCAGCGGCACCGCTCCACAGGAACACAGCGACGCAGAACCACAGCGACAGCCCACTGCCAGCACGGCGGCCACGAAGCGCCTCAGCACGGGCGAGCCGAGGAGACGGAGCCCGAGGGGGGGCACGGCAGGTGCGGTGGGGCCAGGCAAGTGCTGGCGGGGCCAGGCAGGCGGGGTGGGGCTAGGCAGGCGCGGCGGGGCCAGGCAGGGGCGACGGGTCCAGGAGGCGCGGGGCCAGGCAGGTGCGCGACGGGGCCAGGAGGCGCAGCAGGGCGAGGCAGGCGCGGTGGGGCCAGGAGGCGTGGCAGGGCCAGGCAAGCGCGGCGGGGCCAGGCAGAGGCGGCGGGGCCAGGCAGGCGCGGCGGGGCCAGGCAGGGGCAGCAGAGCCAGGCAGGCACAGCGAGGCCAGGGAGGCGCGACGGGGCCAGGCAGGCGCGGCGGGGCCAGGCAGGCGCGACGGGGCCAGGCAGGCGCGGCTGGGGCCAGGGAGGCGCAACGGGGCCAGGCAGGCGCGGCTGGGGCCAGGGGGGTGCGACGGGGCTAGGGAGCGCGGCGGGGCCTGGCAGGCGCGACGGGGCCAGGCAGGCGCGGCTGGGGCCAGGGAGGCGCGATGGGGCCAGGGAGCGCGGCGGGGCCAGGCAGGCGCGACGGGGCCAGGCAGGCGCGGCTGGGGCCAGGGAGGCGCGATGGGTGCTAGGAGGCACGGGGGGGGGGGCCAGGAGGGGCGTGGCAGGCTAGGAGGCGCTAACGGGGCCCAGGGGGGGGCGCGACAGGGGCTAGGAGGCGCGGCAGGGGTCCAGGAGGGGCGCGACGCGACGGGGCCTAGGTGAACGCGCGACGGGGCGGAAGCGGTAGGTGGGAGGGGTCGAACCTACAGATGATACCATGTTAGAAACTAAAATTTAACAAGTGTTGAATAGAGAGAGACAACAAGGGTATATACCTAAGAGTGTTGTACCCTCTACGAGGTGACCCTATACAGTCTATACAAATATATGTTATACATATGTTTGACACTGTCGCCCAAGCCCCACTGCCTGTAAGCTGCACCAAATGGGCCCAACTCGAATTTCAAGCTGGACCGAGGTTCACTACTCCGGCAAAAACGAGGCTGGGCCCCGATTGGTCGAAATGCCAACTGCGCGAATCTGTGGTCGTAAAATCTGTCGCCAGTGCGAAAGGTCGCAAGCGCGATTCGATTTCGTGGCCTACGGCTTGGTAAAAAACGGGGGCTGCTGCCCGCCCCTCCAAAAACATAGTCACTGTTGGGTCGTTTCTAGTTGGGCCCAACTAGAAAGAGGGGTCACTATTATAACCTCTCGCTTTAAGCCCGGTAAAGCGGCGTAAGATTGGGGGCACGAAGAGGTTCGGACTCTCGGAAATCCTGAGACTCTCGAATGCAGGAGCCTGAGAAAGAGATTCGGGAATCACTTGGAGGGAACCACAGCGACCAATTGTGAGTGACTGAAATGGTTTTGGGTGACCAATTGTTGCAGGTCTCCAAGATTGTCCGGTAGAGAATGAAGGTGACAGAAATTTCTGAGAAAGAGGTGCTGACGACGAGGGATCTGGGGCAGAGCGGAGGGCAGGTGAGTGAGCAGTGTGCACCCATCCAAAACCAGTTCCTGAAGCCTGGGCAGATTGCTCAAGTCCTCAGGCAGCTCACAGATATAAGCTTGGAGGACGAGCACCTCGAGAGACGCCAGTTGCGTTATGGACGGTGGCAGGTTGTAGAGTAAGCAGGACGAGAGTTGCAGGTGGCGGAGCTTCCGTAGATTACCAAATCGTTGAGGCAGCGAGGAGAGGCGGGGGTGCGAAAAGGTCAAGGCAGGTCAGGCGAGTGCACTCGCACAGGGCGCCAGGCAGCCTCTGAATCTGAAAAAGTTCCCTGCCACAGAAAACGGAAAGCTTTGACAACTTCCCAATGGTCTCTGGCAGTGAATGAACGCTCATGAGGTCCAGCAGATGCAGCTCTTCTAAGTTGGTCAGATTGCCGAAACTATTCGGTAGCGATGTGAGTCGAGCTGCTCCCAGACCGAACGACTTCAAAGAGCGAAGCGTGCCCATTTCTTCAGGTAGGCGTTCCAACCGTTCTGAATGGAAGTAAAGCCGGACGAGCCCCGTCAAGTTCGAAATGGCTGGCGGAAGCGTGGGGTGACGGTGCAGGACAGCTCTTCCAAACGGGTACAGGCTTGGAAGATCGAAAGGAACCCTTGCCCCGTCCAAGAGTCAGCCGAATTGCCGAAGGTCTGGAGATTAAAGCGCTGAAGACCCGGACAGGCGTTTGCGAGGTACGCAACCACATCGTCCGAAAAAGAGTCCAGAAACCGATCGTCGATTTCAAGCTGCGTGAGGCTCGGCATGCGGTGGACTGCGCCGATGAGCTGCGACGAGGAGATTCGCCTGAAATCCGTCGCGCCGAGCCGAACGGGGTTACCCCGATCAGTCACATGGATGGATGAGTGCACCTCATCCGCGAGGCGACGCCACCGCTGAGATACGAGCGCGTGGGAGAACGGAGCGGCGTAGTAGGCTGGGCGCGTGGCGCGGTGGTCATCGTATTAACAACACGATGTTACTGGGTCGGGAGGCAGTTGCACGACGCAGCGGAATATTGCACGAACGAGGCCATCGTTGAGACGCTCGAACGGATCCGCGTCAGCAGGTGCAGCCATAATATCGTTCCGAGCGGACTTGAGGCTAAATGAAGGGGGAACAGGAATGGAGTCAGGAAATAACCTGCTGGTTCAGGAAGGATTGTGAAGGGAGAAGCCGTGGTGGTAGGCTAGAGGGACGACGGTAGGAGAGGCTGGAAAAGGATGATGGGATTGAACGCGATCCAAGAAGCCAATCTCAACATCGTCCGGGCAGGCCATGGCGCTACGGCAGTTTCTAAGCTTGATCCAAGGCCTGCTGCTGCGACAGTCTCTTGGTTATGGGATGTGAAGCTATGGCGGCTTGGTGCGCTGCGTTGGGTTGGATTGGGTTAGGTTGGATTGGGAGGAAGCACTTCGGTCTGGCCAGTGCTCTGCTGTCAGGCCAAATTTCTGGAAATGGAGGTAGCGTCTTGGCGAAGCTTCATTGGTTACCTTCGCGAATGGATGGGCCAGGTAGCCTCGCGAATTTCGTGCGGCTCGCTCTAGCAAATACTGCGTGGGGCGAACAGGTGATCCGAAGCAGCTCGCATCGCAACCGAAGGTGGGGCGAGCGCGGATCCCGCCGTTGCCCCGGCCAAATCCACTGTAGTACGCCTCGATATGGACCTTCAATTTAATGGACGTTGTGACGGCAGGGTTGCTTTCGGAGTTAAGATGTTATATTTTCTATAAATCCAGAACAATACTTATGGTGTGTTAGCATCACGGAGGATCTGTTGATGTGCGTTGAATGCTATGGTGTGTTGGCACTCTTTCAGAACTCATTCAGCCCCAGAAAGCCATCTTAGTGCAAAATGTCACTTCGTAATCCCTCGTAGTTGTTGTGGTAAAATCGTACTTCAGCATTTCTGTAAGTACTTCCGATAGATATTGTCGAGTTACACTGTAGCTAGCGTCGGTAGAATGACGTCATCAAATAGCGCTCGTCTGGATGGTTACGTCAGCAAGCCGTTTCAGTCACGCGAACAGCCGCGCTCTTTTCAGTAGCAGTTAGAGCTGATAGCGCAAATAGCTCGAACAGGTACATTACCGAGTAGGTACTTCTAGCAGATATAAAAGTACCATGTACAACTTCAAGTATTAACTTGTTCTTCAATAAATTCCGGTCAACACTTAACAAGTTCTAAGACTTCCACTGTCTTACTGATTTACCATTCCAGCAAAGATCCTTGGTTGAGTAATGAAGTATCACAAGGCTGAAACACTGACTCTGGTGTTAGAACTCGTTAGTACTGGCTGTTACTGGAGGTACTTCCAGTATTACTTTCTACTTGTGTCTGCAGATTCTATACTTAGTCTCCAGCACCACCTGTCCAATTCTTTCAGTAGTCTGTTAGCCACCATCCACTCACCACCAGCCAACACCCAAAATCCATGAACCATCAACACACAGTCCCAGACAAATCAAACGCCCACCCACCCTCAAAATGTCTCCACCCAACTGACCACCCAATGAGAGGCAAAGAGAGATGGAAAGGGGGGGGCGGAGGGGAGGAGACAACAGATGGATGGAGTGCAGGAGGGAGAAAACGCTAAATGGTGGAGTCAGGGACAGAAGGAAGGCGAGGGGAAGACGGAAAGGAAGGGAAGGGGGGAGAGATGGATGGTAAGAAGAGACGAGGAGGCAGATCGAGGAGGCAGGGAATGGGTGGGAGAGCGACGTGTGAGTCAAGGACTGGCTGTAATCCAACCTGGAATCCAACCACACGCACCCATAAACACAGCTCATGCGTGTCCCTCACAACTCCACAGCAGCAACCCCACAAAGGCCATCCAAGAAAGCAAAAAAAACCCCCAGAAACCCCTCCCAACCTATAGAAAAGCATGCCATGCCAGACTCCCTCCTGCTGAGAGCGAAGCTCTGGCCGCCTAGGGACACTGGACTGATACGGGAAAGCCGTTTGGTCGGCCTTTCCTCCTCAGTAGACCAGCGGGGTCGTTAGTAACGGAGGGGTGTTTGTTTCTGGTGCAGTTTATGGGACATTCAGATGGGGTTGCGACGGTAATGATGAGGGGGGCACGCGGGAGTGTGAAGTCGTAGCAGCTATAAAGTAAAAGAACGGAAATTGAGGGGATGCACACGCACGATTCTTACAAGGAATTGTCCTAAAAACCTCTTGACTGTTCGTCAGTGGGAGGTGGACACCAGAAGGAGGAAAGGCAGAAAGCGAGGGAACGGAAGGGAGGGGAGCGCGGGAGGAAGGAACTGGGGGAGAATGGAGACGGACTAAGGGTGGAAAAGGATAACATTGCAACCTGTATTATATTGCGTAAGCCAGCAACTGTCCATGAGCGAGTGACGAGGAAGCAGGGTCAACCCGAATCGGATCCTGATGGAACTACGATCCCGAACGAATCCTGAAGAACTAACCTCCGAGGACCACTACCGACTGCTACAGGATCCTTCCAGGAGCCGCCACCCCGCCTACCGAATATCCTGCCGTACCAATCCCAACAATACTGCCATAGCGCTGCCGCTAACTAGCCGCCAGCGACCAACACTCTCAGCTCCACCTGCTCTCGCCTGCTCCGCCTCTCCGCCTTCAGCATCCGCATTCCCCTCACCCCTTACTCCCCCGCTCCCCCCTCCCGCTGCCCCCTCCCGCTCCTCCTCACCCGCTCGTCGCCCGCCGAGTCGTTCATTGCCAGAGCACCTCCATGGGAATGTTCCGCTCCTCCGACACCTCCTTAAACTGCTTCATCTTGCTCACCGCGTCTAGCACGGCGCGCGCATTGTTCAGGGGGTTCGGGCTCCCCAGCGACTTCCCCAGCGCGTTCTCCAGCCCCGCCAGCTCCAGCACCACGCGCACAGCTCCTCCCGCAATCACGCCCGTTCCGGTCGCCGCGGGCCGCAGCATCACCGCCGCCGCGCCGAAGTGCCCGTCGGAGCGGTGCGGGAACGTGCGGTACTTGGTCATGGGAACGCGCACCATGTGCCGGCGCGCGTCCTTGACTGCTTTCTGGACGGCAGTCGAAACCTCCTTCGCCTTTCCGACGCCCACTCCGACCTGGCCCCCGCGGTCCCCGACAACGACTACTGCCCGGAACGAGAGCTGCTTGCCACCCTTCACGACCTTGGTCACGCGGCGCACCTGCAGCACGCGCTCCGACATGCCGTCGGACGCCTGGAGCCCGCGCCGGCCGCCGCGACCGCCGCCGCCGCTGCCGCCCTCGCTGCTGTTGTCGGAGTCGCCGCCGGTCCGCGCGCCCCTGCGCTGCCTGCGCGCGGGAGCCTCCTCGTCGTCCTCATCGGACGCCGAGAAGCTCTTAGAGTCCTTCACGACGCCGAAGGGCTTTCCGTAAAGGGCCTCGTAGCCCGCGCGAATGTCCTCCTCGCTCTCCTCCTGCTCGCCTTCCGTGTCCGCGTACGCGGCCTTGCACACGAACGACGCTTCCGCGCGCTGGCGGGACGCGGAGGCGGACAGGGAGAGCGCGGATCCGCGGAGGGAGCTCGCGGAGAAGCTGAGGGGACGCGCGGTAGCCGGGCCGTCGACGGGCTTAGGCGCGAGGGAGAGGGATGAGAGTCCCAGAGAGAGGGAGGATGCCATGGCGGTCGCCATTGTGGCAACGAGAGGGAGAGATCCTAGCACGTGATGCTATCCCAGGGAACAGCAGCTCGGTGAACCTGCAAGTGTTAGAGAGGAATGCTAGGCAAGGCGGACGATTCCCTCTCTCCCTTGTCTGCTTCCCAGGGCAATCCCAAGGGGTGTGAGGTGCTGTGGTCAGCAATGGCTGTGCGCGCGAGAAGGGCATGATGGGTGTGTGAGGAGGAGTGGCGGAAGGCGCGCGGGTAAGGGGAGAACTGTGCGGGAATGAGACAGGGAGGGGGGAGGGGGGCCCATGTGTGTGAAAGTGGGAGTGCGCTATGGGCGCAACTCTCAGAGCAGGAAGGCGTGGGTGCGGGAGGGTTTGGGGGAACTCGGAGACAGGACCCAGCGCGTATTTCGTTTCGGCCCCCATTTCACAGTGAATGGGGGAGGCTGGGGAAACCCAAGGCGAGTGCTGATTGGGCCATGCTGATTCAGCGCTTTTACTGCCTTGCCTAAGTGCTCGCTGGGCCTACGTGGCGACAAGAGGGAGACGTGGTGCTAGAAATGTGTGACGACATTTGGCGAAGCGTGGCGAAAGCGGGCTGGTGGTAGCCCACCATGGGGCAGCTATTATCCAGAGCCTGTCCACACGTCACGCTTTTACTCAACTCGAGCGCAAACAGTGCCAGAGGTATACTCGCTAAGAACAATCAACCTTTCCTAAGCTAATATGCAAAGAGCTAATTTTCAGAAGGAAATGTAGAGCGAAAGTGCAGCTTCAACGTAACGCGTTAGTAGAAACTCGAAACCAGTCGTGCATGTGAGCATAGATACACCTGCACGCCGCACTTCCACTCCCCAAAGCTCGTGCATGGTGTGTCGCCTCCTCCACACGCCATGTAGCTCCTCCTGTCACAATCCAAATTCGCCCCTTGTAACATCAGTGCGCGCTGCTTGTTATGGCTTCCTCCTAAGGTTTCTTGAATGGCCGCCTCTCTCACGCGGCACTCGTCGCCATAGAAAATCGTTCAGGCCGACTACCTCCGCATCCCCATAGTTAGTCGTTTTTAGCTGAACTGCCGTGCCTCTAATTCCCGTGCCTAATTTCTCGGTCTTGCCAGGGGCGTAGCACACCACGTGCCCTCGTCACCATAATCCTGGATAGGCGCATCCTAAAATCCATCTGTTTCTGCTGCATAATCCCCATCCCATGAAGCTCCGCGTGCGATCCGCCCAAGGCGGCTCCACCCATCGCATCGAAGCGCCGCCGCACTGCACGCTCCGCGCGCTCCGCGATCTCGTCGCCGCCACGTTCGGCGTTCACCCACCCTCCACACTTCGCCTCTCCCTCAACAAACGCGACGCGCTCAGCGATGGCGGCGCCGGCGCTGATGTGGCAATTTTGGAGCTCGGGATCCGCGGCGGGGACTTGATTTTCGTGCTGGCGGAGGGCGGGGGGGGCGCGGGTGCAGGAGGAGCACAACCAGCACAAGCAGCGCCGTTAGCTGCGGCAGCGGCTACACGGCCAGCACCAGCCGCAGCAGCGGCGGCGGCGGCGGTTGGTAGCGAGGAGTGGAAGCGGCAGCGCAGGGAACGGTGCGCCAGCGCGGCGCTCAGTCGGGTTGCGGGCGGGGAGGCGCGGGAGGGGGAGGGCGGGAGTGAAGAGCGCGGAAGGCTTGCTGGTGGGGAGACGATAATAGCAGAGGACGCGACGGGGCGAGCAGGAGAGGGAGATGCCGGGAGTGTTGGTGGGAGTAGTGGTGGGAGCATGGCAGAGGCAGAGGTGCCGCAGAGTCGTATACTTGTGCAGCCAGCAGTTGCTTTAGCTCCAGCGGCAGCAGCGCCGCCAGCAGCACCAGCACCAGCTGCAGCAGCGATGGATGTGGAAGCAGGAGAGGGTGCAGCGTCAGCAGCAGCAGCAGCAGTAGCAGCAGCAGCAGCAGCAGCAGCAGCAGCAGCACCAGCAGCAGCACCAGCAGCAGCACCAGCGCCAGCACCAGGAGCACTAGCCGCGGCAGCTCCTGCGTTTGGTTTGGGGGTGCGCGGTGCCATCCCTGCTGCGCTGAGCCGAGTGATTCGTGCAGAGATGCGAGCTGCCATGGTCGCGGGGCAGAGCGCTCAAGGGGCAGCAGGAGCAGGAGCAGCAGTGGCGGCAGGCACAGCAGCAGCAGCAGCAGCAGCAGCAGCAGCAGCAGCAGCAGATTCTGGAAAAGCGGGAGTGGAGCATGTGAGGGTGCAGCATGCGCTGTCCCCATCGGCATGGCTGGCGTTGGCTGTGCATGGCGCCATGATAGAGTCCGGATTCACGCCTGTCAGCCCCGCTCCTCCAGATTCATCCGCAGCACCATCACCTCCTCCCCTCACAACCAGCAACAGCAACGGCAACAGCAACGGTTTGCCTCCCCTGAACTGGGACCGTCCCTCCACCCCTCTAACTGTGCTCTACTCCGTGGCGTCCTCTCCCAATTCCCCTCTCCCGCCGCTCCCTCCTCTGGCGTCCCTTCAGTTCTTCACCCTGGGTCAGTCCCTGCTCGTCTATGGCGCCTCTCTCTCGCCCACCCCGCCCCCCTCCTCCTCCTCCCTCCCATCCTCCTCTCCCCTTTGTGTTCGTCGCCTAGCTCTGCCCTTCGCCTCGTTTCTGCAACAACCACTGCAGCAGCAGCAGCAGCAGCAGGTGCAGCAATCGCAATGCTTGCAACAGGTGCAGGTGGACTCTGCACTGGAGGCCATGGACCCGGCAGTGGTGACAGGGCTGGTGTACAGGAGTGTGAGGGACATGTGGCGCTGCATCAAGGACCAGCTCACCCTCCCTCTGCTCTCCGATGTCTCCCTTCGATTCCGCCTCTGTGCATGCACGGCTGGGAGTCCTCCTGATCCTGCTGCTTCTGCTACTCCTGCTACTCCTGCTACTGCTGTTGCTGCTGCTGCTGGTGGTGACGGTGGTGGTACTAGTGCTGCCACTTCTGCTGCTGGTGGTGCTGTGTCTTTCGCCCCTCCTGCTGTGCATATCCACACACACACCTGCCCCAGCCTCACCACCACCCAACCCTCATCCACCTCTCCCTCCCGCACCCCCTCCCCTCCTCCTCCTGCCCCTCTCCTCCTCTTCCTCCCGTCCCTCCTCGCACTCCCGCACGAGCTGCGCCTGCTGCTGCTGCGTAAGCTCCCCCCAGTGGACCTGGCGTCCCTGGCATGCACGTGCACCGACCTGCACTTTACGGTCGATGCTGCTGACGAGGTCTGGTTCGCGCTCTTTGCCACCGATTTCTGCCTCCCTGCCTCCCCCTCATCCCCGACTCCTGCTGTCACTTCTGCCCCTGCTGGTAATGCTGCTACCGGTACTGCTGCTGCTCCTGCCGCTCCTTCTGCCATGGCCCCGCTCCCACTCCCCCCTCCCCCTCCCCCTGGGCACCGCAACTGGAAGGCGGCCTTTGGAGCGTGGTGGCAGAAGCGCAGGGCGAGGGAGCGGGCAGAGGAGGAGGAGCGGAGGCGGCGCGAGGCTGCAGCCCGTGCTGCTCGGCCCAGTGTCTTCTTCCCCCGCCGCCCCCAGCCGTTTCTCCCCCCTCCTGGGGGCGGGTTTGCTCCCCCCGGCATGATTGGGGGGGATTATGACCGGTTTCCTGGCCTTGGGGGTGGGGGAGGGGGCGGGTTTGGGGGATTTGGGGGCATGGGGGGGTTTGGGATGGGGGGAGGGGGGATGGTGGGCGGGGATGGGATGATGGGGGGATGTTTGGTCCGGATGGGAGGTTGATTGGGGGTGAAGGGGATGGGATGGATATTGAGGGTGGGATGGGTATGGGGGGCGATATGAATGTAGGTGAGGGGGCAGGTGGTTCTAGAGCGATGAGAGAGGCGTTGGGGGGGGGTGTGGGGGGAGTTGGAGGCACGGGTGGACTAACGGGCGGAGTAGGGGGAGGCGGGAGGGGAGGTGGAGGAGTGGGGAGGATGGGTGGTGGTCGTGGTGGCAGGTTTCCCCCTGGAGGCATAGGCGGTGGTGGCGTGCGGCGCTTCATCTGACCCTTGCGTTGTGTGATACAGGTACACTTGGGTCGTGACTGTCAAACATATTTGTATATGTTACAGTAGACTAGATAGGGGCATGCCTTAGTGAGTACAACAATTTAGGTCAAAACCACCATGTACCCTATTTTCTAGTTATTGTGCTACTCAGAGATGGTATCATAGTAGGTTAGGTCCGCCCACCCGCTTCCGCCCTCGCCCTAGCCTAGCGTCCCACCGTTCCTTCAGCGCGCCCCGCTGGCCTTAGCGCGCCCTGCTAGTCCTCAGCGCCCTGCCAGCCCCGTTAGCGCGCCCCGCTAGTCCCTCGCCCCACTGGTCCCTTACGCGCCCCGCCTGGCCCTAGCGCCCTGCCGGCCCTTAGCGCCCCGTCGACCCCTCGCGCGCCCGCTGGTCCCTCAGCACCCCTCACGCCCCACTGGTCCCTCCTGCGCCCTGCCTGGCCCTAGCACCCCGCCGGCCCTTAGCACCCCGCCGACCCCTCGCGTGCCCGCTGGTCCCTTAGCGCCCCGCCGGCCCCTCGCGCCCCACTGGTCCCTTACGCGCCCCGCCCGGCCCTCGTGCCCCGCTGGTCCCTCCTGCGCCCCGCCTGGCCCTAACACCCCGCCGGCCCTTAGCGCCCCGCCGACCCCTCGCGCGCCCGCTGGTCCCTTAGCGCCCCGCCCGGCCCTCACGCCCCGCTGGTCCCTCGTGCGCCCCGCCTGGCCCTAGCGCCCCACCGGCCCTTAGCGCCCCGCCGACCACTCGCGCGCCCGCCGGTCCCTTAGCACCTCGCCGGCCCCTCGAGCCCCACTGCTCCCTTACGCGCCCCACCGGCCCCTCACGCCCCGCCCGGCCCTCGCGCCCCGCTGGACCCTTCCGCGCCCCGCCTGGCCCTAGCGCCCCGCCGGCCCTTAGCGCCCCGCCGCCCCTTTCGAGCCCCGCCGGCCCATCGCGTCTCGCCGGCCTTCCTCCCGCTCTGCCTGCCCGTCGCGCTCTGCTGGCCCCGTGAGCCCCAGCCGGTCCTTCTACGCGCCACTGGCCCTGTGAGCCCCGCTCGACCTTCCGCTCGGTCTTCCTGCCGGGGAGTTCCGCCGCCGCGCTGCTGTGCCACTGTGTAGCTGTGTCGCTGTGTTGCTGTGCCGCCATGCCGCCGTGGAGCTGTGTCGCTGAGGTCGCACGATGACATACTCTGTACTCCGCCTGGACGCGGAGGGGCACGCGATTGACTTCGCCGCCTGGCTTGTTGATCTACGCCGTCACCTCACAGGTCAGCACTAGGATGGGCACTCCCTGGCTGTGCATGTTGATGGCTTGCTTCCCCGCCCCCCCGCGAATGATTCCCTCCCTGCTGACCCCACCACTGCTCAGCGTGAGGCCTTTTCTGCTGTTGCGCTTGCTCGCGCTGTCTGGGATTGCCGCGATGTCGTAGCGCTGCTAGCCATTAGTCATGCTCTTCCCCTGTCTGAGCGTCCGCGCTTCACTGCTGTGGCGAATGCCAAGGATGGAAGATGGAAGATAGATGGAAGGCAGATGGAAGCTGGAACCTGGAAGATGGAAGATGGACGATGGAAGATGGAAGATGGAAGATGAAAGATGGAAGATACATGGAATATAGATGGAAGATGGAAGATGGAAATGGAAGATGGAAGATGTAAGATGGAAGTTGGAAGTTGGAAGATGGAAGATGATGGAAGATGATGGAAGATGGATGATGAATAATGGATGATGGAAGATGGAAGATGGAAGATGGAAGATGAAAGATGGAAGATGGAAGATGGATGGAAAATGGATGGACGATGGATGGAAGATGGATGGAAGATGGAAGATGGAAGATGGAAGATGGAAGGTGGAAGGTGGAAGAAGGTAGAAGAAGGTGGAAGAAGGTGGAAGAATGTGGAAGAAGGTGGAAGAAGGTGGAAGAAGGTTGAAGAAGGTGGAAGAAGGTGGAAGATGGTGGAAGAAGGTGGAAGATGGAAGATGGAAGATAGATGGAGGATGGAAGATGGAAGATGGATGGAGGATGGAAGATGGAAGATGGATGGAAGATCGAAGATGGAAGATGGATGGAAGATCGAAGATGGAAGATGGATGGAAGATGGAAGATGGAAGATGGAAGATGGATGATGGAAGATGGATGATGGAAGATGGATGATGGAAGATGGAAGAAGATGGAAGAAGATGGAAGAAGATGGAGGAAGATGGAAGAAGATGGAAGATGATGGAAGGTGGAAGGTGGAAGGTGGAAGGTGGGGGGGGGAGGTGGAAGGTGGGGGGTGGAAGGTGGAAGGTGGGGTGGGAATGGAAGGTGGAAGGTGGAAGGTGGAAGGTGGAAGGTGGAAGGTGGAAGGTGGAAGGTGGAAGGTGGAAGGGGAGGTGGAAGGTGGAAGGTGGAGGTGGAAGGTGGGGGAAGGGGAGGTGGAAGGTGGGGTGGAAGGTGGAGGGGGAGGTGGAAGGTGGAAGGTGGAAGGTGGAAGGTGGAAGGTGGGTGGAAGGTGGAGGTGGAGGTGGAAGGTGGAAGGTGGAAGGTGGAGGTGGAAGGTGGAAGGTGGAAGGTGGAAGTGGAAGGTGGAAGGTGGAAGGTGGAAGGTGGAAGGTGGAAGGTGGAAGGTGGAAGGTGGGGGAAGGTGGAAGGTGGGAAGGTGGAAGGTGGAAGGTGGGAAGGTGGAAGGTGGGAAGGGGTGGAAGGTGGAAGGTTGGAAGGTGGAAGGTGGAAGGTGGAAGGTGGAAGGTGGAAGGTGGAAGGTTGGAAGGTGGAAGGTGGAAGGTGGGAAGGTGGAAGGTGGAAGGTGGAAGGTGGAAGGTGGAAGGTGGAAGGTGGAGGTGGAAGGTGGAAGGTGGAAGGTGGGAAGGTGGAAGGTGGAAGGTGGAAGGTGGAAGGTGGAAGGTGGAAGGTGGAAGGTGGAAGGTGGGAAGGTGGAAGGTGGAAGGTGGAAGGGGGGAGGTGGAAGGTGGAAGGTGGAAGGTGGAAGGTGGAAGGTGGAAGGTGGAAGGTGGAAGGTGGAAGGTGGAAGGTGGAAGGGGGAAGGTGGAAGGTGGAAGGTGGAAGGTGGAAGGTGGAAGGTGGAAGGTGGAAGGTGGAAGGTGGGAAGGTGGAAGGTGGAAGGTGGAAGGTGGAAGGTGGAAGGTGGAAGGTGGAAGGTGGAAGGTGGAAGGTGGAAGGTGGAAGGTGGAAGGTGGAAGGTGGAAGGTGGAAGGTGGAAGGTGGAAGGTGGAAGGTGGGAAGGTGGAAGGTGGAAGGTGGAAGGTGGAAGGGGGGGGAAGGGGAAGGTGGAAGGTGGAAGGTGGAAGGTGGAAGGTGGAAGGTGGAAGGTGGAAGGTGGAAGGTGGAAGGTGGAAGGTGGAAGGTGGAAGGTGGAAGGTGGAAGGTGGAAGGTGGAAGGTGGAAGGTGGAAGGTGGAAGGTGGAAGGTGGAAGGTGGAAGGTGGAAGGTGGAAGGTGGAAGGTGGAAGGTGGAAGGTGGAAGGTGGAAGGTGGAAGGTGGAAGGTGGGGAAGGTGGAAGGTGGAAGGTGGAAGGTGGAAGGTGGAAGGTGGAAGGTGGAAGGTGGGAAGGTGGAAGGTGGAAGGGTGGAAGGTGGAAGGTGGAAGGTGGAAGGTGGAAGGTGGAAGGTGGAAGGTGGAGGTGGAAGGTGGAAGGTGGAAGGTGGAAGGGTGGAAGGTGGAAGGTGGAAGGTGGAAGGTGGAAGGTGGAAGGTGGAAGGTGGAAGGTGGAAGGTGGAAGGTGGAAGGTGGAAGGTGGAAGGTGGAAGGTGGAAGGTGGAAGGTGGAAGGAAGGTGGAAGGTGGAAGATGGAAGGGAAGGTGGAAGGTGGAAGATGGAAGGTGGAGTGGAAGATGGATGGAAGATGGAAGATGGAAGATGGAAGATGGAAGATGGAAGATGGAAGATGGAAGATGGAAGATGGAAGATGGAAGATGGAAGATGGAAGATGGAAGATGGAAGATGGAAGATGGAAGATGGAAGATGGAAGATGGAAGATGGAAGATGGAAGATGGAAGATGGAAGATGGAAGATGGAAGATAATGGAAGATGAAGATGGAAGATGGAAGATCGAGATGGAAGATGGAAGATCGAAGATGGAAGATGGAAGATGGAAGATGGAAGATGGAAGATGGAAGATGGAAGATGGAAGATGGAAGATGGAAGATGGAAGATGGAAGATGGAAGATGGAAGATGGAAGATGGAAGATGGAAGATGGGAAGATGGAAGATGGAAGATGGAAGATGGAAGATGGAAGATGATGGAAGATGGAAGATGGAAGATGGAAGATGGGAGATGGAAGATGGAAGATGGAAGATGGAAGATGGAAGATGAATGGGCAGTACTACTAGTATGACCTCAGGTGAGTGTAATATGAAAAATCAGGGCAGCACTACTAGTCTGACCACTGAGACAAGAGGCCACAAGGCCAGTTAGCAAGTGTAGCAAGACAAGCAAGTATAGAACAAGTTTTTCAAGTAGGTATAGTATGAGTCAGGATACAAGAAATGGTGCTACTATTGAGACTAGACCAAGCTGAATGCAAAACCGCTGATGGTCACGAGACGCAAGTGCCTTAATGAAGATATCAGCGGTGTTGGCCTCTGAGGCCAACTGGCTGACCGCGTTGCTCCAACTCACGCAGCAGGAAATACCGCAGCTGGATGTGCTTTGCCCTGCCCTCAAGTCGAGCCTCCTGACACAAGAGGATCGTGGCCCTGTTGTCAGCAAACAGGACCGGGGCAGACCTAGGCTACTCACCTAAGTCAATGAGCAAGAACAACAGCCAGCGGAGCTCCTGAGCGGCCATGGCCCTAGCGTGGCACTGGTATAGCCCTGTCGAACCTCTTCTCTCTAGGAAGGGTACTAGGGAGGCTTTCCCTGGGGAAGGTGGATATATGGAGCCTTACTCTCCCGATGACATCTCTTCTTGTCCGAGTGGTTAGGACTGGTGACTTTATGACGTGGTATCAGAGCAATCTAGGGTTCAATTCGTGGTGTACATGCTATCCCAGCGAGGGGGTGTGTCGTGGCACTGGGATAGCCCTGGCGAACCTCTTCTCTCTGTAGGGAGAGTACTAGGGAGGCTTTCCCTGGGGAAGGTGGATATATAGAGCCTAACTCTCCTGAGGACATCCCTTTTTGTCCCATCCCTTTATGAAAGATCTGTGCCTCACAGCTGGACTGAGCTATAGACGATGACCTGGTGGACCTCCACGAGACCGCACCAGTACCAAGACTAAAGCAGTAGCCCTGAGACGACCTGAGCGTCTCCAAGTCGTCGGCCCACGACGCGTCTATGTGTCCAATAACCACCACTGGCTCCCGTTCTTCTGGCACAGGCCCCAGTCCTGATGTGCTCGCTAGATACCATAGTACCCTCTTAGCAGCCGACCAGTGGACTGGTCGGTGCCTGCCTGTTGCAACAAAGTGAGCTAGGAGACTGAGAGGGTACGCTAGATCTGGTGGAGTGCAGGTCGTCAGGTACATGAGGCACCCCACCACCTTTGCGTATGGACCACTAGCCTCGACCGACTTAGCCGGAACAGGAGGAGAGAGCTTGTAATTCACAGGCAGGGGGGTGGGCCGTGCTGAGGAGATTTGGAGACTGAACCTCTGGAGGATCTGCTACACCATATGGGACTGAGAGAGTATGAACATGTGAGCGGCGCAGTCCCGAGAGATCTCCAAGCCCAGATAGCGCCTCAGCTCCCCCAAGTCTGTAGAGGTGTGTCTCATAAGCAACTCGGCCTTCACTGAGGTCAGTGCGACTCTTTTAGGAGTAGCAAAGATAAGATCGTCTACGTACACTAGGATGTACAATAGTGTCTGACCCGTGCAAACAAAGAGAGAGGGGTCAGCAGAGGACAGAAAGAACTGCAACTCAGCAAGAGTGGTGCGAAGCGTGTCGTGCCACTCACGGGGTGCCTGACGAAGGCCAAAGAGTAGTCATCTTCGGGGTTGGGGAGAAGGTTTGGAAGAAGTCCACACCCTCACGCTGACTGAAGCCTCTAGCCACGTAACGCGCCTTGAACTTTGGCGACTCCCCAGGTGGGAGCTTCACCCTGTAGATCCACATGCCATCGACTACGATCGTCCCAGGCGGGGGAACTGCATCGACGTAAGTGCCTGTGGATCTGTAGGATGTCATCTCAGCCTCCATGGACTGTATCCACTGGGCTGCCCAAGGCCCCGACACCGCGTCAGCGTAAGAGCGCGGAACAGGGATGTCGAGAGCGGCTGGGTCAGATACAAGCATGGAGCAAGGGGAACAACGGCAGCAAGGTAGGCCAACTCGTACTGCCTGTCCTCTAGCACGTCACTGCCAAGGGCAGGTGCACCCACGACAGACGGAGGACGGGCAGTACCAGAGACCAGAGTGGTAGCGTAGTCAAGGCGGGGGCTAGCAGCAAAGTCAACGACTGCAGCGACTAGCACAAAGACAGACTCAGGAGGAGCAATAGGGTCAGTGACAAGCAATGCAAGCAAGCACGAGAGGACTGGACGAGCAGTGCAAGCAATGTCGGAGCGAGGAGGGGGGGATGACGGGAGCGATGACGGGGGAGGCAACGGAAGGACTATGACAGGAGGAGCACGCGAACGAAGTACCATAGGGTGGACACTAGGATAGGGAGAGACAGGTTGAGCACCAGAGGGAAGAACTGGGGACTGGGGACGAGGAGGAACGGGGGACAAGACAGGGGACGGAGGGGAGCGCGGGGACAAACGAGCCGGAGAAGATTTCGGAGGAGGAAACAATGGGTCATAAACAGGGTCACGTACCGGAGGGGAAACGGGCAGGCGGACAGGGGAAATTGGAGCAAGACCAAGGAGACGAAGGGCACACTGCGGCTGCTTCTGCTGCGGCGGTTGCTACTGCTGCTCCATATCCTCTCCAGGACCTCCAGCGGCACCGCGGCTACCACCGGCACGCCGTGAAACAGCACCCCCAGAACTAGCACCCTCGGACGCACCACCCACAGAATCAGCACTCCCGGAGTCAGCACCCCCAGAACTCGCGTCGAGCCGGTCCCTCACGTACTAGAGACTAGCTACCGCGCTGCTAGCACTACCTCCCAGCTCACTACCTTCCCCCCGCCATTCTGCGCTACGCTGTACCTTATTGCCATGCGCCTGCCTGACCGCTTAGCCACTACCCAAGACCACTTCCTTAGTCAGCACCCTGGTGACCTCACCCTGACCACCTTTGTCACTGCTCTGAGATAGAGACTCGCCAGCGCACAATCGCTCAGTCGAGCGGTGTTGCGGCAGTCCCTATCTTACAGGGCTGTGCTCCCTCCCAGTGCACGTACGCTGACATCTCTGCCGCGGTTGCCACGGCTGCCCCTGCCACTAAGACAGTAGCTACGGCTTCCCGCAGCAGCGACAGCGTCGGGGCCGCTGCGGCCCCAAGGGAGGGCGTGGTGGTGGTGGTGGTGGTGGTGGTGGTGGTGGTGGTGGTGGTGGTGGTGGTGGTGGTGGTGGTGGTGGTGGTGGTGGTGGTGGTGGTGGTGGTGGTGGTGGGGACAATGGTTATGACGAGGGGGTTGGAGCTGGTGTCTAGGAGCAGCAGCAGTCGGAGCGGACACAGCAGCAGTCGCCGCAGCAGCAGCAGTCGTGGGCCCGCCTCTCGCCGGGGTGGCCAGGAGCCCCATGCGGTGGTGGCCGCGGTGGCGACCCCCGCAGCTCGGTGTCTATCGGTGGCTTTGGTGCTGTGAGCTGCCAGTACCAGCTCTAGACCGGGCCCCTCCATGGCGCTGTGTGTCGCAGCCCGCACCCGACCGCCCACTGCTTCCGCCGCCTCGATGACCTCTTTTGTCACCGCTTGGGCCCGGCCCCGGACCTCCCTGGCTGGCCCAACTTGCAGCGCCACGGTGTGCCCGTGTTTGACTTTGACATGGATCAGATTAGTTATGCCCTGCATTCTCTGTATGCTGATGCTTCTAGTGTGTCCGGATCTTACTACCCTGTGTTCTCTAGCTTAGGCATAGCACCTGTATATAGTACAGACTCCCCTGTTGTGTCAGGCATAGGGCCCTTTGCTTTGTCTAGCCTAGGCTCTACACTCGCCCCTCCTTCGTCTGCCCCTCCTGCTTTGCTGTCCTTCACACTTGACTCCGGTGCTTTTGCCTGCTTCTTCCGCAACCATGCCACACTCACGCCACTTGCCACACCTGCCGCTGTCGCACTTGCTGGCCCCTCTGCTAGTCCTGTCATTGCTCACAGCCACACTACTCTTCCCTGTCCAGCGGTTCCCTTGGGTTCCCTTACAAGCTTGCACATCCCTTCGTTCTCCAGGTTTTACTTAGTGTCGGCTGTCTTCAAGACCTCGGCATCACCACTACGTTCCCTGGTCACGAGCGGTACGCTGTCTATACCGAGGCCGCCTCAGGTTCCACCCTTGCGACGTTCACCCGGGACCCGGTGTCTAGCTTGTTTACGCTGGACACTGTTTCTATCCCGGTTGGGGCGACCTCCCCGGGCCCAGCGTCTACCCAGGTCGCCGCTGCTTGCTCGTGTCAGTCGCTCACTTACCCGTTGCTCCTGTGGCACCATCGCCTAGGCCACCCCGCACTCCTGCATCTGCGTCATATGTCCCAGCACGGTCTCGTCCTAGGTCTCCCTGCTTCGCTTCCTACCCACCCTCCCTCACCTGCGCTGCCGTGCATGCCCTGCGTCGAGGGCCGGCTGTGCCGTGCTCCTCACTCCTCCTCGCCTTGCCCTGCCACCGCACCCCTCCAGACCCTGCACCTAGACGTTTGGGGCCCAGCCCCTGTCCTTGGACCTCGTCGCGAGCGCTACTTTCTTGTGCTCATTGACAACTACACGCGCTACACCACGGTGTTTCCACTAGAGCGGAAGGCCGACGTACCTGACGTTCTTATCCCCTGGGTCGTAGCTGCGCGTGGTGGGTCCACCGCGGTCTCTCTGTGCTGTGTCTCCACTCCGACCATGGCGGCGAGTTTGCCTCTGGTCGGCTTGGACAGTTCTATCGTGCGGAGGGCATCACTCTGGCATACACCCTACCAGACTCCCCATAGCTGAATGGGGTTGTTGAGCGATGCATCGGTTTGATCATGGAGGTGCCTCGTACCTCCATGATTCATGCCGGTGCACCCCATTTTCTGTGGCCGTTCGCCATTCGCTATGCCGCTCACTAGCTTAACATGTGGCCGCACTCCCAGCGGGCGCAGGTTTCGCCGAACCTTCTTTGGACCGGGTTCCCTGGTGACGCGTTTGCATTCCACGTCTGGGGCTGCCTCGCTCACGTTCGTGCCTCTGGCACGGAAAAGTTCATTGCCCTTGTGTCTTTCTAGGTTTCCCCCTTGACTCGTCTGACAGGCACTTTTACCACCCGCCGTCTCACCGCTTCTTTCACTCCCGTGATGCTACTTTCGACAAGTCTGTCTCCATTTACCAACGCTTTCCCCACCAAGGTCTCCCGGTTTCCCCTCCCTTGTTTCTGGTTCCCATTCCCCCAGTAGCCCCTGCTCACCTCCCTCCCCGTCCTGCTCCATCTGGTTGTCCCACTCGAGGAGTTGGCTGACTCTGGTGGCCCCGTGGTGCCATTCGCACCGCGTGCCTCTCCCCCGGTGTCTCCTCCTCCGCCGTCGCAATCGCCGCCGCAGCAGCTGCCGCAGTCGTTGTTGCCGCCGTAGCTGCAGCAATCACCGCCGCCGCAGCAGCAGCCGTTCGTGGACTCTGGGGGTGCTGGCGTTGAGGAGGGTGCTAGTCCTGGGGTTCCTGTCGTGGCTTGTGTCGGCGGGCCTCGAGGTGGCACCGGTGCTAGAGAGATTTCTCGCTCTGGGGGTGCTCGTTCTGACGGTGCTGGAGTGGAGTGTTCCGGAGGTAGCCATGGTGCAGCTAGCGGTCCAAGTAACGGCGTTAAGCAGCAGCACCAGCAGTCGCCGCCGGTGTCTGCCCTTCGCCTGCTCGGCCTTCCCTCCCCTGACCACTCGTCTGTGCCTCCCCCGCCGCCTCCTCCTCTTCCTGTCTACGGCCCTGTGTTCCCTCCGCCGGACTCGTCTCCGGCTCGTCTTCCCCCTTGTTCCCCTCTTGTGTCTCCTCCTCTGTCTCCTGACCCGATGCCCCCATCTCACGTCTGGTCTCGCCGTCCCTCTCATGCTCGTCCTGTCTGTCCTGTTCATTGTCTCACCCTATGTTGCTTCGTTCCCATGCGTCTCATCCTCCCCTCATGCATTCGCCTCCTCCGTCGTCGCTCGCCGTCGCGCCTTCCCGTCTGTCTGCCTACCTTCGTGACGCTCATCCTCATATTCCTTGGGTCCTTGCCTCCCTCGTTACTGACCCGTCTATTCCTGTCTCGAGTCTTGGCGCTCTTTTCGCTGCTGCAGCTGACTTTGCCTCTACCCACCACCTTGATTACGCCACCGCTCTGATCTCTGACCCTTTCTGTCCTCCGTCCATCGGGGGTGCTCCTGCCCTTGGCAATGACGTCCTAGAGGACAGACCGTACGAGCTTGCTTTCCCGTCTGAGGCTGCTCCCCATCTCTGTTCCATGCTTCTAGTCCCTGAGGGTGACCTAGACGCCTTTGACATCCCGACCCCTCGCACTTACGCTGAGGCGACCTCAGGACCATGGGCCTCTCAGTGGATAGCTGCCATGGAGCAAGAGATGGCATCTTGGAGATCCACCGGCACGTACGTCGACGCAGTTCCCCCACCTGGGGTGAACGTAGTCGATGGCCGGTGGCTCTTCAAGGTGAAGCGCCCCTCTAGAGAGCCGTCTGTGTTCAAGGCGAGCTACGTGGCTAGAGGCTTCAGTCAGCGTGAGGGGGAGGACTTCTTTCAGACCTTCGCCCCGACCCCGAAGATGACTATTCTTCGGGCGCTGCTACATGTTGCAGCACTGCGTGACTACGAGTTACACTCCCTCGACTTCTCCACAGCGTTTCTCCAGGGCAGTCTACACGAGCAGGTCTACCTGTGCCATCCGCAGGGCTTCATTGGTACCTTCCCTCCTGGGACCCAGTGGCTCCTCCAGCGCCCGGTCTACGGCCTGCAACAGGTGCCCCGTGAGTGGCACGACACGCTGCGTGCTACACAAGCTGACTTGCAGTTCTTTCCGTCCTTTGCAGACCCCTCGCTCTTCGTTCGTGTTGGCCAGACCCCGCTCTACATCCTTGTGGCCACAGGCAGACACTGACCACAGCATTGGTCGACCGCTAAGAGGGTTTTGCGTTATCTTGCAAGTACATCAGGCATGGGGTTAGTGCTGGGAGGATGCAAACCAGTGGTCCTTACTGGGCACACATACGCTTCGTGGGCAGACGACGCTAAGACCCTCATGTCCTCCCAGGGCTACTGCTTTAGCCTTGTTTCGGGTGCCATCTCATGGAGGTCCACTCACCTCGTCTGTTGCCCAGTCTAGCTGTGAGGCTGAGATCTACGCCAGTGCCATGGCGGCACAGGAGCTCCGCTGGCTGACCTTCTTACTCACTGATTTAGGTGAGCGACCTAGCTTTGCCCCGGTTCTGTACGCTCACAACAGGGCCATGATCCTCCTGTGTCAGGAGCCTCAACTTAAGGGCAGAGTGAAGCACATCCTGCTGCAGTACTTCCTCCTGCGTGAGCTACAGCAGCGTCACCAGGCCCGCGTAGTACACTTGGCCTTTGGTGCCAACACAGCTGATATCTTTACTAAGGCGCTTGCGCCGAAAGATCATCAGCGGCAGTGTTTGCAGCTTGGTCTAGTTCCTGTAGCTACTCACTTGCTAGGACCTTGATTGTGTACTCCTCTTTATATATACCTTTCATACGGGCCTTGTGGCTTCTCTTCCTGTGGCCGGACTAGTAGTGCCGCCCTGGTTTACTCCTGTCTTGTTTGTACCCTTGCTGACTGGTCTTCGGACCCTTGTCTCAGAGGTTGGACTAGTAGTGCCGCGCTAAGCAGCATGCTTCTGGCTCAGCACTACCCCTTATCTAGCCTAGGCGGTGTGTCAACTTATACATATATTTGCATGTAGAAGGTATAGGCTAGATAGGTGTGTGTTCTTAGAGAGTATAACCCCAACCCTATATCTCCCTTGTTCTCTCTTGGTTCTACTCATTCTCATTCTAACAAGTACGTGCACACACCGGCAATTGAACAAGTTCGTGACACAAATTTCGAATCCGCAAATTTGCCAACCCAGCAAAAACCAGACGGCACAGTAGCGGAGAAAAAAACCAACATTGGCACATTGTGACAAGCGAGCTCAAATAACAAAACACAAGCAGCGAATCTTCACATTTTGAGAGCTGCCTAGGAGTGAGATTGGCCAAAGACTCATACAGTGGCGGAATAAACTGCCCGGATGTTTAACACTTTGAAACGTATCGCTATGCCACACATGTTTCGAAAATAGTAACACCCGTTTTTTGCCATTCCGTTACAAGGTTTCCGAGTTCTGCTTCAACCGTTTCTTGCTTGGCGCGATTGTGACACAACCTGAAAGTGGGGTTGAAATTTACTCCTCGACTATCGATGCGGACATTTCCAACCGAGCGGAAGAGTAGATCTATTTTCCCCCGTCACTATGTGTGTACATCGTCACGTGCAACAGTTGCTGGCTTAGGAGTTAGTCCGG